TCACTGAATTAAATATATTGTGCCACTCTCTTCTGGCCTGTAAGGTTTCTGTAGAGAAGTCTGATGATGGCCTGATGGGCTTTCCTTTATATGTGATCTTTTTTTGTCTCTCTGGCTGCTTTTAATGCTCTCTCCTTGTGCTTGATCTTTGCCATTTTAATTATTATATATCTTGGTGTTGTCTTCCTAGGTCCCTTATGTTGGGAGATCTCTGTACTTCCATGACTTGAGAGACTATTTCCTTCCCCAGATTGGGGAAGTTTTCAGGAATTGTTTCCTCAAAAACACTTTCTATCCCTTTTCTCTCTCTCTTCTTCTTCTTCTGGTATCCCTAAAATATGAATATTGTTCCATTTGTATGGGTCACATACTTCTCTTATTATTCTTTCATTACTAGATATCTTTGTTTCTCTCTGTGCCTCAGCTTGTTTTCCTGTTCTCTAATTTATTTTTCATTTGCCATCTTCTCTACCTCATCTAATCTACTTTTAAATCCCTCTATTCTATGTTTCATTTCAGATACTGTATTTTTCAAAGTCTCTATCTTTCTTGAAGTCCCCCCTGAGATCTTGAATAATTTTCTGTATTTCTGTGAGGATGTTTATGATTTTTATTTTAAAATCTTTATCAAGAAGATTGGTGATTTCTGTTTCACTTAGTCCTCTTTCTGGCATCTGAATTTTTGTACAACATTTTTTTGCTGTTTCATTTTTCTAGTGATTCTTATGGTATAATAACTTTGTGTTTATAGTTCCTTCTAGTGCCCATAAGTTTTACTCTCTGGAGCTGCTGAGCACCTAGAGCTTTGGTGGGGTCACAGGTGAGTTGCAATGGGTCCTACTGGGAAGAAAGAGCTCTTTCCTGCTTTCCCGCTGCAGTTCCTGATTCCACTGACAGGTCTAGTGGGCTGAGCATGCAGGGAGGAGCCTCTGCATTATGCCCCTGTGGGTGCCACAGGTGGGGCCACCTCTGGCTGGCCTTGCATTATGGCAGGGGCAGCAGGTGTGCAGATCGGTACCTTCCAGAAGGAAGGAGTAGCAGGCTGTATATCACAGTGGGGGGCCTGGAGGCTGTGTTGCCAGACAGGGGGATGGAGTATCTGAAGCTCCTGAAAATTCCTGACCTGATGGTCTGTGTGGGAGGATGACATTGTCCACCTGCCCATTCTCCTGAGCAGTCAGCTCTGTGTAATATTTGCCCCTCTAGCACTCCTCTCACTGTTGGGAAGTCTCTTTTGTCCTGGAGTGGCTGTTAGTGCATACCTGTTCTCCACAAGTGGCTGGATCTCAGTCTCTCTGAGAATTCTGTCTGTCTTTGCTTTTGAACCCCACTAATCTCCAGAGCACCATGTAAGGGGGTTTGTGCTCCTGAAGCAGATCTTCAGGGCTGGGTGTTTAGCAGTCCTGGGCTTCTGCTCCCTCTATGCTCCATTTCTCTTCCTCTTGCCTGTGAGCTGGGGTGGGGGGAGGAACCACTGGACAGGGGCTTTGCTACTTTTCCCTTTTTCTGTGAGGTTTTCTCTTTTCCCCAGATGTAGGCAATCTGTTCTTCAGTCTTTGGGTCACTCTTTCAGGATTTTAAACTATAAAATCCATGTGGCCTATATCTAAGGGCTAGTTAACCTTGAATCCTCTATGGTATGAGGTGAATGTCTGACTAATTGTCAGAAATCAGTAAATGTTAGATGACTAGGTTGGAGGGAAGCAGATGGGCAGGCAGACTCCCTAGGGAGAAGTCCAACTATTCAAGATGTTCACATGGCCATTTGATGATATTATAAATCATAGGCAGAATAGCAGGCAGGGGCATATAAGCACATATATATCCACAATGATAGTTCTCTTGTGGTCTCAGTGAAAATGTACCTAGTGCACAGCCTCCTCTCCAGTGTACTGTGACAGACTGTGTGCCATGAAGGGGTTACAGGTGTGCTAGAAACAGCCACCCCCTCTGCCTTTGGGTGGCAGGGAAGGGCTGGGCATGAAAGAGCTCTTTCCTGCTTTCCCGCTGCAGTTCCTGATTCCACTGACAGGTCTAGTGGGCTGAGCATGCAGGGAGGAGCCTCTGCATTATGCCCCTGTGGGTGCCACAGGTGGGGCCACCTCTGGCTGGCCTTGCATTATGGCAGGGGCAGCAGGTGTGCAGATCGGTACCTTCCAGAAGGAAGGAGTAGCAGGCTGTATATCACAGTGGGGGGCCTGGAGGCTGTGTTGCCAGACAGGGGGATGGAGTATCTGAAGCTCCTGAAAATTCCTGACCTGATGGTCTGTGTGGGAGGATGACATTGTCCACCTGCCCATTCTCCTGAGCAGTCAGCTCTGTGTAATATTTGCCCCTCTAGCACTCCTCTCACTGTTGGGAAGTCTCTTTTGTCCTGGAGTGGCTGTTAGTGCATACCTGTTCTCCACAAGTGGCTGGATCTCAGTCTCTCTGAGAATTCTGTCTGTCTTTGCTTTTGAACCCCACTAATCTCCAGAGCACCATGTAAGGGGGTTTGTGCTCCTGAAGCAGATCTTCAGGGCTGGGTGTTTAGCAGTCCTGGGCTTCTGCTCCCTCTATGCTCCATTTCTCTTCCTCTTGCCTGTGAGCTGGGGTGGGGGGAGGAACCACTGGACAGGGGCTTTGCTACTTTTCCCTTTTTCTGTGAGGTTTTCTCTTTTCCCCAGATGTAGGCAATCTGTTCTTCAGTCTTTGGGTCACTCTTTCAGGATTTTAAACTATAAAATCCATGTGGCCTATATCTAAGGGCTAGTTAACCTTGAATCCTCTATGGTATGAGGTGAATGTCTGACTAATTGTCAGAAATCAGTAAATGTTAGATGACTAGGTTGGAGGGAAGCAGATGGGCAGGCAGACTCCCTAGGGAGAAGTCCAACTATTCAAGATGTTCACATGGCCATTTGATGATATTATAAATCATAGGCAGAATAGCAGGCAGGGGCATATAAGCACATATATATCCACAATGATAGTTCTCTTGTGGTCTCAGTGAAAATGTACCTAGTGCACAGCCTCCTCTCCAGTGTACTGTGACAGACTGTGTGCCATGAAGGGGTTACAGGTGTGCTAGAAACAGCCACCCCCTCTGCCTTTGGGTGGCAGGGAAGGGCTGGGCATAGGAACTCCCAAGCACATACTTTTTTCACATGGGCTGGGGGTATATTCGCATTTTCTATGAGTGAAAACCTTTGGGAAGATGGATCTAGGGTATCGAGAGCACATTCATAGTGGAGAATGTAGTGATGAGAGAAGAGAATAGGAACAGGCAGATACTAGGTGACACTAGAATGGAACTTGCTAATACTACATTCTTTCTCAAATATTCTGGTCATCACTTCTTTTTAGCATTCCCAGTGTTCACTGATTGCCCAAAATAATCTGTAAGAAAGCAATTTTACTCTTAACAAACCCCTTATTTCTTAACAAGGCTTCCTTGTTTACACAGTACTGAGAGAGAACTTTAATATGAGAAACCATTTTAGGAGAGAATCAGTAAACTGGATTTGGAGAATGAGAGTAAAATAGACCCTTGAGGAGGTGAGAGTTAAGGACAAAGTGGCAAATCTGGAAACAGTACTAATCTATTCAGGGATCATGGGGATGTTAGAAAACTGCAGAGCAAATGAACTTTCTGTATGACTTATGAGATAACACAAGTAGTTCAGGAGATCTTGTTAGGTACATGTCTTCACCTGGATAATCAATAAAACCTCACTTACTTAATTAACAGAAGGCATAAGTAAGTATTTTTCTTTTTTCACTGTCACAAAACTGGCGAACTTCCCCAGTATGGCTAATACAAAGTTGAATAAACACATTTGACCTGACCAAGTACTGACTTGCAGCAAACACAGGCCACTAAATGACAGTTTGGGTCCAGGTCAACCACTGTCACTTTCTGTTATCTTAAATCTCACTTGAACTAAAATAAATGTGGCCATCAGGATTATTTATAGATTGCATATCTATAACCTGGTAAGGAAAATAGAAAAAGAAATAATATTAAAGACAAATTTGCTCTTTTCCTTCAATTTTTATCTAAGACATAGGACATGAAATTAAAGATATTATTTCAAACTAGACATTCGTAATACTTTTCTCTCATTTGCCAACTGGAAAATGGCAGTTTTTATTTTGTTTTTAATCTTTGTTAATTGAAGGCCATGTTTTTAGAATTTGTAAATATTTTCTTCACTAGCTCTAAAAGTCAAAGTAAAGCCAAGGGAGAAAAGAGAATTCTTAAAGCCTCTATATTCAAGTTAATTAAGAAAAAGTTCTTAATAGTCCCTTGAATCAAATAAGCACAGGCTTTGAAATGAAATGCACTGTAGTTTGAATCCTGGTCGTACCGTTTCTCTGTATGTCTACAAGCCATATACTTACTCTCTGAGACGCATTTCCTAAATTGTTATATGTGAGATAACACCTCTCCTTTTTTAGGGTGCTTCTGAGTATTAAGTAAGGTAATATATGTAAAAGCGCATGGTGTGTGATAGGCATGCATTAAACCGCAGTTCTTATTTCTTAAAAGAAAAAGCATTTCTGATGTTTAAATGACTTAAAGAGTGGAGGATTTTAATTTAATTCTTATGCATAGCTATCAGACGATGATTATATCACTCCTGATTTACAATGAATGAACTATTAATCACCCTGTGTATTTTCATTCCATTTCCTATTGTTTTTATTTTATAATTGTGAGTAGAAAAATTATTTAAACATCTTATAATTCCCCAAAATAATGGAACTGGAAGTTTGGAGAAATAAATAATTGTTTATTAATAAGCAAAATTTGTAAGACATTAAACAGAAAAAATATGGTTTTAGATGAGTCATATTCATTAGTGTAGGTAGTTCATCTAATATAATGAAAACAAAGGAAAAACCCAATGTGTGTAAGCACAATCTAAATGATATAAAGGTATTTTTGCTGAACACATCACCATCCATGAAGTCATTTTTTTTTTAGGTTAGTGTACATCCTTCATCAGATAACTTACTCTTTGTCCTTTAGTACCTTGACCCCCAGGTGGTCCTCTTGCCCCTGCAGGACCCTACATGTTGAAAATTTAAAAATTAGTTAGAGAATTCACAGGAATGTTATCAGAATAGTAGTTCACCTTTCTTATAACATGTAATTTTCCTTCAAAATTCTCAAAATAAAACTGATTAGCCTTTAAAAATATGTTTTAATTATTAAATACCATAGTCCTCTCCCCCAATAGTTTGCTTTACACATATTTTACTACTTGGAGTGATTTCATTTCTAAGTGTTTCATCCTGAAAAAGAATGGGATGATTTATTATTTGCTAAGCAAATAGTTTTCAGGGGAACAAATAGGGAATGAAGGTAGAGAGATACCCACATAGCTGGTCTGATCAGTCTAACTGACCTGCTTGGTCCATGAAAGAAGCAATGGCTATGGCTATAAGATTTCTTTCTCATGATTTTAGACATTTATGATAATCCCATCACATAAATACAGCTTTTTTCCTGTTACCATGAAAAATGTTCCAAATTAAAATGCCAAAAAAATAACCTACAATGAAGATTAAATCATTACTAAGCCAATTACAATGAATTATTTTTATACCTGAAAATCTTCAATAAAGACTTCACTAGAAAATGTACTTTATTTATCTATTTAACACTAGGTAGATAAAAACAGTGAACTTTTACAGGATCTCAAGTTTATTTATTATCTTACATAAGTAAAAAGATGGGCAACTGTGCCCTAGATCAGTCTGCTAATTTTAGAAGTTAGCAACATGTTTATCAATCTACTGGAATATCAAGCTTACCTACAAAAAGAAGCTACACAAAACAGTATAAATCATATTTGTTGATAGTTCTGCTTAAGGGATCATGAACGCTGATTTTTTTTCATATGTAAAATTACAATAATTGTCAAATTCTGATAAATGAACTTTCCCTTTTTAGAGACAAGATTTCATTATCTTTCTGTAAACAACAAAGGGACTATTTTCAAAGCACAAATTCTGATTAATAGAGGTATATTTTCTATGAAATTTATCTGGTTGAGGATATTTACAAATTTCTAAGAAAAATATGTCAGAACTTATTATGCTTGTGATTTGTTTACACAATTGGTTTCACTTCCAAGGTTCATTACTATGTTTTCTTACATGTGGTAATTCAAAAGAAAGTTAAGTGTTTTTTAGGTTTAGGCTGCAGAATGGTACTATTAGAATTGAGTAGTAAATAATTAGCAAGTAGAGGAGAGGAAGTTCAAGACACTATGACATATTCTAGAATATCTTGCATTGATTTAGAAAAAAAGAATCCTCCTTCAGTTTACATGTTACTTACTTTGCATAAGAACAAAAATATAGAGCATAATCAAAGTCATGGATTTAAATTTAAACAGACATTCTACAAGGGAACATAAAGTCTTTTCAGTACTTACAGGTAATCCCGGTGGACCAGTGGGTCCTGGAATCCCAGGAGGACCTGGATAACCCTATGATTTGAGTGAGAACAGAAAAAACATTGACTCCATCAAATCTAATTATTCTCACTGAGGACAAATCAGTAAATGATAAATAGTAATAGATAGTGATAATTTGGTAACACTTTCTTCTTCTTTCCAAGATATAGAAGCCACAGGAAATGTTCCACAGATAGACACCAGATATAAAAAATATTTACAGAGAAGCTATGTGTCCTTTTATTAGCAACTCTTTGCCCAGGGAAAAAATTTGCTAGGCAGTATCATATATTACAATCTATTAGGAAAAGAATAGGCATCTTATCTTTCTGTAGGATATGTTATGGTATGAATAGATGTATGGTATATAGATAATGAAACTGTATCAGTTTTGAGGTCAAAGAATTCTATAATTAAGGAGCGTGAATATGTAGAAATACTTTAGCTTGTTAAAGTTTAGAAGGACCACACCCTTTATGGTATTAAATGGATTCAAGGAATGTCTTGGGAGGTAATAATTTCTGAAACTGATTAGCTTCATGAGTATATTAAATTTCCTGTTAACAGCAACTGGAGATGGTAAAAAAATCTTCTAATAATATAGAAGTTGAAACTGAAGAATAACTTAGATAAAATTAATTTATAAACAGTATTACATACCACCAGATCCATTACAATCTATTTCTGAAAGCAAGATTCTTTATTGATAATAGTTATTTGTTCTAGTCCCTATCACACTTAGACACTGTTCAATAAACTAAAAAGATGCAATCCAGACATAAAGTTTATCAGCAATTACTATCTTAAAGATGAATTATGGATTATGATCTTTCATATATGAAAGAATTACAGCATGACCACAAATTCATGAAGAGTGACAATGATGATCTGTGCCATTTAAACTGCCATATAAGCTGTAAGAGGAAAGGAGAATCC